TAATTTATTAGTAAATATTATTATTATTAGATATTATTACTATTAGTCCAACCTACAGAGCAATTTCTAATAACAAAATAATGGTATTTAAGATACTTACAAAAAATCTAATTTAAAAAGTTTTAACATCCTGCAACTCTAAACCTATGCATTTCCATACCCATGTTAATAGGAACTTTTTTCATATTTTTGATGAGGAATCAATGAGTACTTAAAAACAAACTTTCACAAGTTAATGGTCTTAAATAAATAAAGGTTGCTATTAGACTTGGATCAGGCAAATTCATAAAGTTGCGTTTATCTCATCAAGGAGACCGAAATCGACAAAATATCAAGATACAACTTTTAACCCTGTAGAATCGGACCTATGTTGATATGAAAAAATATGAAAAAAAAATATGAAATCTTATTTTTACATAAGGAATCTTTCCACGAGAGATGGCACATGTTTTTTGAAACGCCCTGTATAGTTTTTTTTTAAATAGAATATCCGTTTTACCTTTCTCGAAAATGCTAAATACGTAGACAGAAATACGTAGAAATAGAAAATCATCAGCAGATGATTAAAACAGCTTTAATCATCTGCTGATGAAGCTAACAGGGTTAGCGAACCGCACGTCCAGTGTTTAAAAAAATGTTTTGGTGTATTGTGGTGAATTAGTGTTTTATTTCAAGAAGAACTTCATAGACTTAAATGGAAAAATATTCTAATGATGATCTTACTGGGGTATTATACCGGGTGCATCTCAAAAGTTGCTCACCCCTATAACTTTTATTTTTTTAGATAAATAAATCGAGATTTGGTACTTTAGTATATGACTTAAATTAGGATTGATTGACGTGTTCAATTGTTTTTGGTTACTTCCTATTTCACCGGAAATGACTACAACTTTTGATTTTTAAATTGCACCCTCGGTATTTTCCTCGGTATTTTTTTTCTTTATTTGATAAAAAATATCACTGTGAATAGAATCACATATCACATGTCAATTTTTGAGATTTTTGCTTAAAAAATCGTATTTTAAATTACAATCTAGAGTGCCATGGCTGTGTTAAAAACAAGGAGCCTTTGAAAAATATATTTGATCGTCTAGTGTTTTTCGTGTGTTGTCCTTGCCGATCGTCCAAATCATGACAGTGGTCCAATGAATGTCTATTCAAATGCAACGAAGATGGCTCATTAGCATATTGGGAAAAAGCATTTTTTTACGAATAATTTAGTACCACACACTTGGTATTTCGAGTCAAATTGTCGCATGAACAGCATGTTACAATTTCAAATAAACCATTTGTGGAGATGTTAAAAGTTGATATATGATATGTCATTCTACTCAGAGTATCATTTTCTATTGAATTAAGTAAAAAAATACGGAGGGTGCCATTTAAAAATCAAAAGTTGTTGTCATTTCCCGTGAAACAGGAAGTGACCAAAAATAATTGAATACAATATTAATTTTATATACCAAAATCCTAATTTTATATACCAAATCTCGTTTTTTTTATCTGAAAAAAATAGAAAAGTTATATGAGTGAGCCACTTTTGAGACGCACCCGGTATAATATTGTAACTGGGAACGGGTCTAAAAAATCTGGTATTTCTAAAGATAAAACCTAAATTCCTGTTTGCTTTTGACAGTAAATTATCATATACTGGTTGTTAAGATCTAATTTGTGTGTTATACAGGGTGAGTATTAAATAAGTGCAAATGTTTTCAGGGCTGTTAGATCTCGATAAAAGAAACGTATTTGCTCTTTACCGTAATTCAAATAATTCCAAAATAACCGAGATATTTTACTTTCATTACAATTTATAAAAAATTGATTTGGTTTTGTTTGGTTTTGAGAACTCCTGTATCTTTCCTGGGTTGTCTTTCTTGTAAATTTAATAGTAATACCTATATTTAGGTCTTTTTTTTGTCTTTCTTGTAAATTTAATAGTAATAATATTTAGTAAATTTAATGTACTACCTATGTTGCCATATCATGAAGATGTTTTTTAACTAAAAATTAAAAAAAATCAAAAAAACTTGTTAAAAAAGACCTTATATACGTGTTTCTGGGGTCGAAATATACCACCCTTAAAAATATTTGCACTTATTTAAGACTCACTATGTATCTTATTATTGTTATACAGGGTGAGTTTCCTACGATGTTCTCTATGGGTATCTCGGAAAGTACTGGAGATAGAGAGTCGGTTAAATGAGGAAAGAATTGCAGTTTTGTGGGGTCATAAATATGCGCCTTTCAGATTTTTGAAAAAGTTCATGGCTTACTAGTTATTTCGAACTTTCGGTTATTTTAAAAATTGCCCCTAATTCCATTATAAGCTATTTTAAACAAAAAGTTTTCAGATAAAAGTTGTAGATAATCACATCCTTAATGAGACTGTGTCATCTGTTTTCTTCTAAAGTCTGTCATTTTTGACATATGACACAAACATATGTTTTTTTAAATGGAAACCATAGTAGGCCATGACTTCATAAAAAGCGCCATTTTTTAAGCTTTTCAGCTATATAACTTATAATATGTTGTCTTCGAAAAATTACTGAGTTATAGCCAACTCTTATCATTTTTAAACAATTTCACTTAGTTATCCATGGAAACAAGTTTAATCGTGTTTGCTCTCAGAAATGTGAAGCTGTCACATCCAAACTTTGTAAAATAAAATAAACAAAAATTGTAAATATGAATTTTTCAAATGAAGAACAGCGTGTAGGAATATTGGTTCAACTTTTCTTGACCATACATTTTCGAGAATACGTTGACCGGTGAATGTTACGTTTTTTAGAGATCGGTTTTCAAGACATGTTAGAAAAGTTAAATTTAGTTATAGCCAATTTTTATCTTTCTTGACTAATTTCAATTAGATTGCATGGTATTCTTGTTCTCTTATGATTTATAACTTATAAAAAATCAGAATATATTACTAAATGGTCCCTTACAATTTACATTACACAAACTAAAACTTAAAAAAAATAATGTCACTGCAGACACTTTAAGTTATTTTAGAAAATGTTCAAAAAATCCGCCACTGTTACAGTACGTCTATCCGTTCTGTAGCTACGGTGTATCCGTGAGAGGGGAAATGATATTCTCTCGATGTTTTTCGTAAAAAAATAGACGACGCGTCCCATCAATAAAAATTCAACAAATTTGCAAGTAGCCAATAAAATGAGTGGGCGGAGCGATTTGCGGTGACGCACTCGTCAAATCGACGTATAAAATATATTGCTGTTTATTTAAATGTTTTTTGTCCGCATTCCTTTCATAGACACAGATCCAGCAGATGTACTGTACCTATTCTCACAGAAGGACTTAGTTAAACCTCTCTCGTGCCGCCACTTCGAGTGCCTCTCTTAATTCATAAGTTCTTTTGTAAACCTTAATGTTAACCATAGCGCATAAAAAAATCTAAAATGGATAGGTCAGGTGATCGAGGAGGCCCATGCAATTGGTCCACCTCTTATGGGAGGGGGTCATAATGAAAGTCATATTGGAACCACTCTATTAATGCGCGAGTTTAGTTTTTTTTTAGTCTTTTTTTTCTTTTTTTTTGACACGCTTTTCCTCATTTGAAAAATGCATATTTACAATTTTTCTTCATTTCATTTTCATTTCATACAAAGTTTGGATGTGACAGCTTCACATTTCTGAGAGCAACGGGATTGAACTTGTTTCCATAGCTAACTAAGTGCAATTATTTAAAAATGATAAGAATTGGCTATAACTCAGTAATTTTGAAGAAAACATATTATAGCTTATATCGCTGAAAAGCTTAAAAATGGCGCTTTTTATGAAGTCATAGCCAACTATTGTTTCCATTTAAAAAAACATATGTTTATGTCATATTCAAAAATGACAGGCTTTAGAAGAAAACGAAGGACACAGTCTCACTAAAGATATGATTATCTACAACTTTTATATGAACACTTTTTGTCTAAAATAGCTTATAATGGAATTAGGGACAATTTAAAATAGCCGAAATTTGTTTTTTTTTCGGAATATCTAGCAAGCCATGAACTTTGTCAAAAATCTGGAGGGCGCATATTTATGACCCCACAAAACTGCAATTCTTTCCGTATTTAACCGACTCTCTATCTCCAGTAGTTTCCGAGATACCCATAGAGAACATCGTAGGAAACTCACCCTGCATATTTGTAGGTTAATGTACGATTTGCGATTGTGTATTACATTTAATTCATAACCTGTAATCGTAAAATAAAAATATATAATAGTTTATCAATTTTGCACTCCCAATTAAAAATAGCATCCTTAAATACATCTAGATAAAACTACAGATTGTATTAATATAACCTAAAATATTGACCTAATCAATTAAATATATTGATCGTTTGTCAATACATTTAGGCGTTACTGAGGTTTCAGCTTCCCTTTCCAATGTTTTCTTGATAAAAATTTGTTTAGATTTTAGTTGTTCTATATTATTTTATAACATGAGACCGAGACGTAACATGTAGAATCAACAGTAATAATATTACTGACCATTGAAAACCACTAGATGAAAAATGTACAAAAGAGACACTTTTAGAATATAATATCCTAGGCCAAACTAAAACGGCTTGAAATCGGATATTTCCTGTAACATATTTGGCAGTAATGCGTCGGGCATCTGTAGCTCCTAGAATAAAAAACTTGGAAATGTTGTTTAAGTACAAATCTAAAGTATGAGTGGATGTGAAAATGGTGGATGTAAAAATTCCGTTCTTTGTCAATAAAAAAAGAGTTTGTTTAGATAAATATTGAATATAGTCGGTAAACGTTGATTTTTTTATTCTTCACTCACTTGATAAGTTCTTGTGTATTTTGTGAGGATGTTTTAAACTAGCTATGCCGCATCTTTTCTATATTTAATGGAAGGTTTATACTGCTATTTATTAGACTTTTCTTCTTTTCATCACTGAATTGTTGTAGTTAAAGCATTGTTATTATATAGGACTATTGTAGTGCACGTAATAGTTAGCTTCTTTATGCTACTATAGATTGACGAGGACTTGGGGTCAGACAGAGTCGGTATAACATATCGTCCTAAAGAAGGAACCAATTGTCTTGGATGTAGTAACAAGCGCAGTTCAATGGTAAGTGATTACAGCTTTTCGTTTTGATTCGAATCAAAGATATTTAAACTCGGGAGATACAATGATGCATTCATAAAACGCTCTAAAACTTCATCACACATTCATTGGTTTTGCGAAAATCAACGAGTGCGAGAGAGAATGGATAGAGAAGGAAATAGGGTATCGGTGCGATGGCAATAATGTAGGTTTGTACAAAGATTAGACGTTTCAGGTTATTTTCCAGTGGCGTGCCGATCGACGGAGAGTATTTTAAGGAAATTAAAATAATTGTTTAATAAATTTAAAAAAATAATAATAAAACTTACATATTTGTCGCATTGTAAAAAATAAGTTGAGGGAGGATAGTGAAATAAAATAAAAACCGGCATAATTTTTTATTACAAAATGGCTTTTCACATAAGAATAACGATTAAAAAAATCAATAAATATTTGTTTACTTTATTTTATTAAATAAAATATCAAATTTTAGGTGTATTAGTAAATGCAGTTTTAATATCTTGTTCCAAACCTTGTTCGTCTCCAGCGAATGAGACTCCCTCTATTAGCAATAACAAAATAAAATAATTATTTAGTAATTTATATTATTAGTAACACAATATTTTACCAAAAACTAATATTTGTAGAGTTCACATATTTTGATAAAAACTTTATTATTATATGTACACACATGGCCAAAATTATTACATATAAAGATATTTTTATTTTATTTTGGACCTAATATGATTATTTTTATATTTTTGACATATTGGCTTACTACACGACTAACTAATATAAAATTAAAAATCTAAGTGCAACTAGGCTGTTATTATAATTTTATTTCATAATGACTGAAAATCAACAAAAACAAATTTCATTTTAAACAGAAAATATTGAAAACAATTTTAATTATTTCTCACAACTAATAGTCTGTATTGCCTCCTCCAGCCTCAATGCAAGCTGTGAGACGACATGGCATGCTCTCAATTAAGTTGTCCAGAAGATGTTAAGGAATGGTTTCCCATGTTTCGCGCGCAGCAATTTTCAATTCATTTAAGGTACGGGGGGATCATTCCTTTTGGCAATATGGCGTTTTAGCATGTCCCAAGCATGCTCGATCACATTCATATCTGGAGACATCCGTGGCCACCACAGTTTTCCTATACCCTCTTCCTCACAAAATTCGCGAACCGCTAAAGTGCGATGGGGAGGAGCATTATCGTCCATGTAAACAAATTCATCCCCCTCTGCCCCTCGAAATGGACGCACAATAGGCTCTAAGACGTCTCTAAGATATAAAGCACCTGTCATTGTGCCATCAATAAAAACAAGAGGAATTCGAAAACATGCATTATACCTGCCCATACCATGCTTCCCCCTTCAAACGGGACACGGGGTTGAGCTGCATTCAAGCGTGCTCGTCTTCCAGATGCTCTCCAGACCAAAGTTCGTCGCGAGTCTGACACTAGGCCTATTCTTGTTTCATCACTAAACATGACGAAATTCCAATTAGGTCCATTTGCTCTCATCTCCTCAGCCCATTGTAGTCGCGTAATTTTGTGCTGTAAATTAAGTTGCGGAACACGTAGAGGCCTCCTTAAATATAATCCTCTGTCATGGAGTGTTCTTGCTATGGTCTTTCTTGAAACTAGTAGTGGGAACTATCGAATGAATACTATCGAAACATTCGATAGTTGCAATTCATTCGAATAATTCGATAGCTAGTAAGAAAACATTCGTCGAAAACTATTCGAATAAAAATTATCGAATAGATGCGTCATCTGCCTTGAAATATTGTATTCTAGTAATTCGGCAGCAAAAACCATTCATTTATAAAATTCATTCATTTATCAAATTCATTTATTCGTCAGGATCGATTTTAATAAAATATAAACTGGATTTTAGTTGTCGTCCGGCGACGTAGGTTTCTTTCCTAGAAACCCGACAGCGGTCGGTGGCAATGCTATGAAAGAAGCCGGCATCTTTGATTTTTTGCGGAGTCAAATAAAGATAAGGACACATTATTTTTTTATTGAGGTGCTAGTATTTACACAGAAAATACATTATGAGGGGCGCTGTTGCCATATATTCGTATTAGTTGGTATTAGCAAAGAATATTATTCTTTAGCATTAGTTAGTTAGGGATAGTATGTCTATATGTTTTGCATTTTTTTATTAATATTCTGTTGTTACACTGCAATAATACTTTTTATTTTGGATGTAGGAAAATTATTTTTAATGTTTTTAAGCAAAGACTGGTTTAATAAATAATAATGACAGTAATAATTTGTTATGCCTATTAACAACAAAATTTAAAATCATTTAATAATATAAACATTTTTTTTAAGTAGTAGCAAAATATAAACAACAAATCGAAGTCAAAAGTATTTATATTAGATCCTATTTAAAAATAATATAGTCTCTAAATGGCAACGTTGGTTTATTAAATAATAATAATTATACACAGAACTAATTTGTTATATTAACAACAAATTTTAAAATCATGAAATATAAACATTTATTAATTTTCTAAGCATGCAGTGTAATGGAATGAAAATATAAATAAAAAATTAGAAATCAAAATTATTTATATTACTTTTTATTACTTTATATTTACTATTTAAAAATAATATTTACTTTTACTGGCATTTACTTTAAAAAATAAATGAAATATTTCTTCGCAAAAAACTACATGTAAGAGAATTAGAATAAACAAAATACAAACATTGTTAACTTTTTTTTTAAATTGGCACGTGTAAAACTTTCAACTTAACTTTCTCACCCCAAAATTTGAGTTCGATAACCATTTACTTAACCACATTACTTAAATATGATTATTAAGCTCAACTAATTCATATTATTAAAACATCTAAAATACAAATATGTATTTTTAAAATTCATTGTAAGTTCATATCATCTTTCTTAAAAATTGCTACTTCTCAAAATTTCCCATTAAAAAAATGCAATCTAACCTAACCATAATATACCATATAAAATTAAATAATTGAAAGATCGGGCTACGGAAAATCACACAAATTTTCGGAAAAATTTTGACCACTTCGCACACAATCGTCAATTAAAAAAAACTACTATTTTAGTATTTTAAATATTTTAATAAACGCAAAAATAGCACAGTATTGTAAATATAATCGCCTTGTAAAGGCGAAGTTATAAAAATTTGGAAGAACTAATAATGCACTGACGCACACAAAAATCAAACGAATGCTAAATTTCATTTATCAAAAGCATTCTATAGTCGTGGCGCAACGATAACCATTTAGTCGCACGGCGAGGTTGTCACATATGCTTTAGTATACAAATGAATGAATGATTTTATTCGAATAAAACCATTCGATAGTTGAAATAATTCATTCAGTAACCATTCGATAGTGTAATTCATTCGATAGTTCCCATCGCTACTTGAAACATTTACTCCTTCAAGGCGAGCTAACTCATTTTTAATAGCAGTATTAGAAATCAGGGTATTGCGTCGTCGTGCAATTAGGGATATTTGGCGGTCTTGCACAGCAGTAGTAACTCTTTTTCTACCTCTTCCAGGCCGATAGATGCAATAATTTTGGCCATGTGTGTATATTTATATATATGAATTTTACAACTACAATAAAAAACAGTGAATAAAATTTAAAATGTGCCTTATAATTTTTATTAGTTCACAATAATTGTTCACTAATGAGGGAATAAGAAGTAAGAAAATTCAACATTTATTTACCTTAACTTTCATTTTAGGGATGTTCCAAACACAGTGAATCAGAACTCAGAATATAATATGTATATTATATGTGTATATCTATAAAAATTTATTTGATATTATAATACAGTCATCAGAAAAGTCTAGCGATAATTTTACAAAATCATAAATAAAACAAAATGGTAATTGTTTAGTAAACGGTTCTAGTTCTTCCCTTAGTTTTAAAAAATATATTTAGTTTTTTTTTTCTCTTGTTTGCAAAGGTAAATTCATATTGTTTATAAATAATAAAAAGTGCATGTGAAAGAATTTTAATAAAACAACATACAACAAAATGTAAGAAAGTCATAAAATTAATGTAATAAGTACATTAATTTTATGTATGTCAAAAGATGTCCATCCAAAATTTAAAACAAAAACGGTATACAATTGTAACGGCAACAAAAAAAGTAAGGCCGCAAAATTCCATTTTTGGTACACCCCAATGAAATTTTCACAAAAGGTAGGTAATGATTTGTCAAAACCCAAGTAGGTATCTAAATTAAATTTATTCTTATAAGAATGTACGATTTTTCGAAAACAGATGTTTGTAATTTCATAAATTACAGGCGGTTTATAGAACTTAAATTTAATTTTTAACATTCAATACCCTTTCTTAAAAGTGAAACAGAAATTGTTATTAACTTATTGGTAATTAGTACGTACCATGTACCTTTTTCCTACAAGTAATTTAATTAATAAATATATAATTTAAACAACAAACCTAAAAATAAATATAATTTACAAATCTCTTATGTCTAGGTACGCCTCTGATCTACAGACAAAAGGATATAATAATAAACCTAACCCTACTTACTTTTATTTACCGGTGAAAATTTAAATTTGGATTTAAATGATACACTCCCTTGTACACAATACATTATTTATGTATTTTGAAATTAGTGTCCACAGAAGTCCACAAAATAACGCAAAAATACTATAATACTGCGAATAAAGAATACGGAGCTTGAACGGCGGAAGAGCAACCTCGCAAAGTAGAATCTAGGAATTTTCATTCATCCTCGAAATCCGTTGTACTACGCCGGCATACTTCTAAAACTGACGTTGCCAAACTGTTTTTTATTATTAGAAGAAACACGACCATGATATTTTTATTCCATTATAAAATTTAAAATAATTAAGCAGTTAAGCATTAAATAAACAAATTGACGTTAGCAAGTTAATGTACTTGATATATTATAGAAATATAACATAATTATTTATTACTTCATAATTGTTTGTGGTATAATCAAATACTAATACCAATATACAGGTAAATCTGGCAAATGTTTTCGGTGTAAGAGATATGGGAAAATAAGGATCGAATAATGGCCGGTAAAGGAAAAAGGTAAACAATTATTGTATCTCTTGAGTTTAAATATCTTTGATTCGAATTCAATTATAGGCTTGGTGCATTTCAGTTGATTTTAAAAAATTCCAACCGCGGCGCTGTATACAGCACAAAATCAGAAATTTTCGCTATGTATTTCACGCCGTCTCGGTTAGAGTTTATGTTGTAGAATGTAGAATGTAGAATGTTTAGGAGGGGAGTTAGTCACCGCGACCTTAAAGATCTATTGTGTGTTCCCCTTTCTTGAGCTATAACCAGTTATAACTCATCATACAGTCTCAAGGCTTTAACAAAAGCCAGTATCTGAGACGGCTCCATAGAGGCCAGCTCTCCATCCTTGACATCAGCCGTACCAAAGTTCATAGCACGAATGGTCGTCGTCTCGGCGCACTCAGTGATGAGGTGTTCTGGTGTTTCCCCATATTCCCCACAGAATCTGCATTCGCCGTTGTTTCTCAGCTTCAGCCTACTGAGGTGTTCGTTGAGGAGACAGTGTTCTGTTAGGAACCCCGTGACAATCCGAAGATTGTTTTTACTTAAATCAAGGAAAACCTTTGGTTTTTCTCGGTCGTAGGTTCTGAGGAACTTTTTCGAGTGTCTTAGACCGTTGGAGGACACCCATTCCAAGTTGCGGTTGGAGTCTTCCAGATTCTTCAGTTCCGCTTTCAGCTGGTTTCCGCTTGGAAAACAGAACGGTTCTGGTCCAGTTAGTGGAGTGTTCGCTCCTTTCCTAGCTAGATCATTTGCTTTTTCATTGCCTTCTATCCCTTGGTGAGCAGGCACCCAGAGTAGGAGGAATAGAGTTTATGTTAATCGCATTACAATAATATTGAAATCGTATTTAAGTGTTTTGCTAATGTATTTATTGAGACTATAAAACGCTCAGGTACGAGGTTTGTGAGATGTAATGCTGTTTCGGGTAGTAAAAAATAATTTAAAAAAAAATTCTGATTTCTGCCGTACCGAGCGCTGCTGCTGAAATTTTAAAATCAACTGAAATGCTCCAAGCCTATAATTTATTTTAATCTGTATTTGTGATTTAGTTATTCAGGGAGCAAATATTATACCTAAAATAAAGATGCTACATTGTACTTTTACCTCCAAGTATGTCTTATTAGTCCACTTAGTACGTCTTTTTACCATTTTTAGTATTCCCTTAACATGGCCGACGAAGCAAAAGACAACCACAACCAACAGATAGAAAGAGCCGAAATAGCAAACCTAGTAAGATCGCGAATGGAAAGCTTAAATTTATCCACTATTGACTACAATGACGTTAGTGAAAAGAGAAACAGTCTGTCATACGTAATTATAAATCCAAGTTGTGATCTCAAATTGGAAGAAGGTGACATAATGTAAGTATAGATTTTGGACTTACTTTTCTATATTACAGTTGAGGGTTGGAACCTTTGGTGTTACACAGCAAAATAAAACACTAAATCACCACAATACACCAAAACACTTTTATTTTTACACTGGACGCGTGTTTCGCTAAGCATGTTAGCATCATCAGCAGATGATTATAAACTGGATAGTTTTGAGTTTAGTTTTTTTTTAGATTTGGGTTCATTATATAGTTCATTAAAATTCTCCTTTTTCGTTAAAAAAATGAATACCAGTTACGGTTAACTGGAAGTAATTATTATTATTAATTACTAAAAAAAATTAATAAGTACTCAGATACTTTTTGTTTATTAATACAGGGTGTCTCTAAAAACATGTGCCATGTCTCATAGGGAGATTCCTCACGTAATAGTAAGATTTATTTCTTATATCAACATAGGGTCCGATTCTGCTTTGTTTCGTATAGTCTGTCCAACGACAAGATCCTTGACAGTGATAGATGTGTCTGTCATTTTAATTTCAAGTAGTTTATTTTATTTTACAAAGAAATAAGTTGGTACAACTGGAACGCATAGAAATTAATATATTAAAAATTTGAGTGACAAGTGCATATTCTACTTCAAAATCTTGTGAAAAAACTGTATAAAACTGAAAAAATGTAATCGTTTATTTATAAAAACGGTATGTGTTAATACAAAACAAACAAGAACAAAACACCACATACCAAAAAAATTTGATATGAAAAAGAACTAGTTCTTACTTCCAAGCTTTAACAAACTTTCCTCATTTATTGTTTTATCAATACAACTTATGTACAGGGTGTCCCACTAAGAATAGCTCTCGGCTGTATCTCGAAAAGTATTAATCGTAGAGCTTGCGGAAAAAAATATTTATAACTAATGAGACCATGAGAAATTGCTGGAAATTATTTTCAAGTTTGTAGGACGGCCGCTAGAGGGCGTAACTGCTATGGAAAATAAGAAAATGGATTTTTTAAGAAATTTTGGCTAGATACGATGTACTATAAATAATAGCTTCGTAATCTTCAGTAAATTTTGGATCTTTTTTGTTAGAACCATTTCCCCCTATCTGCTAAAATAAAGTGGTGAGGGGAGGTTAGATCTGTTTTTATTTAAATATTAATAACTCCGGACTGGATGATCAGAATCCAACAAGCGAGGGCTCGTTTAAAAGAGCGTTTTTACTCTATATTTTACCGTATAAACAATAATAACAAGCTTTTGAACGTAGACGCTAGGGGGCGTTGTCTTACAATTTAACAAACATTGCGCGTTTTTTCAAAAAAATTATACGAGAGTATATGTAATTTTAGCTAATGGTAAAGAGTAATAAAAGCTTAACAAGTCAGCGGAAACCGCATCTTGATATCTTTTTTCAAACCAAAGATATTATTAATTACCCTATTTTTTTTAACACGATATCACTAGCCCTCTTGATTATGACCATTCTAATAAAAATAATATAAAAAAGATTATTTTATTCAAAATATCGACAATGAACCAGAAAACCATAATACTAGGTGTATTAATATCTAATAATTAAGATACCAATGACGGTAGACAAGAAACGACACCTCAATTCATGGTAGGCTTTGGAAAAAGTTGCTTTTAAACGGATAGTTTAAACATCAAAATAATATTATATCAACATTTTGATTGTCTCAGCAGCCTTTTTTATCTTTTGATTGCTTTTCTAAAAATGCCTTTCTTCAACAGAGAAAAAACGCTGCTAAGACTATCAAAATGTTGATCTAATAACACTTTGACGTTTATACTATTACGTTTAGCAACTTTTTTCCAAAGCCTACCATGACTTTACTGAGACGTCGTTTCTTATTAACTGTCATTGATATCTTAATTATTATTAGATATTAATATAGTAGTATATTGTCAATTTTTGAATAATCTAAGCATTTCTATCTTATTTTTTGTCAGAATGTTCATAATCAAGAGGGTTAGTAATACCGTGTTAGAAAAATAAGGTAATTAAGGGCTTATATTTTCGTATTTATTATAGTTTTGCTAATAACTTTGGGTTGAAAAAAGATATCAAGATGCGGTTTCCGCTGACTTGTTAAGCTTTTATTACTCTTCCTAAAATTACATATACTATCGCATTTAATTTTTTTTTGAAAAAACGTGCAATGTTTGTTAAATTGTAAGACAACGCCTCCTACCGTCTACGTTCAAACAATGATTATTATTGTTTATATGGTACAATATAGAGCAAGAAACGCTCTTTTAAACAAGCTCTCACTTGTTGGATTCCAATCATCCAGTCCGGAGTTATTAATATTTAAATAAAAACAGATCTAACCTCCCCCCACCACTTTATTTTGGTAGATAGGAGAAAATGGCTCTAACAAAAAATATTTAAAATTTACTGCAGATTATGAAGCTATTACTTATAGTACTCCTTATCTAGGCAAAATTGTGTAAAAACTCCATTTTCTTATTTTTTGTTGTAATTGCGCACCCTAGCAGTCGTTCTAGAAACTTGAAAATAATTTCCTGCAATTTCTCATAGCCTCTTTACTTATAAGTATTTTTTTCCGCAAGCTCTACGACTAATACTTTCCGAGATACAGCCGAGAGCTATTCTTAGTGGGCCACCCTGTACAAATACAGATTTTTAATATTCCACAGGAATAAATAAAACAACATAAATAAATAAACTATTTTATTCATAAGAACACTTATTGTACCAAATTTTATACCTTAAAAGTTGATTAATTAACTTTAATCTTAATTTTTTTAAACCAGTACCTTTTGACATTATTTTTCTGCAGTACTAAAATCCACTATTTGCCTATCGTGTGATGTCGATATTTTACAGGTACTTCAGTTTTTAGTATATTATGTTTAGTACGATCCTTCTACCATATACGAGATGCACTTATCTACGACGAGATGGTATACAAACTTTATTAATGGTAACTTTATTGGTGTATAAGACTTTCTGCCTGGGCAGTGAGTATTAACTATAAACTGGTGCCCTGGGTCTACAGTTAATTTTCACTCGATTTTTCCTCCACTTGACTTCAAAAGAAACAAAACACACGTAATAACACGAATCAAAATGCATCATCTTCCAAAACGCAGGGTATTTGACATAAGTTGACACAAAATTATAACCTATAATTTGGTAAGACTTTGACATCTCTCAAAAATCTAAAGGTGAGCTCATGCGCATTAGCGTCCGTTTGTCGTTCATCGTTCCGTCAAACGAATAAAATTGAAATATGATCTGTCATTTTTGAAATAAACCAATAAAACTGGTTAAAAACAACAAGAGACGACGCATGCCGGATTTATATTTAAAACCATCCATAGTTAACTTAAAAATTATTAGAAACTTTTTTTAGTAAAATAAGTAGATTGGTATGGGGCAAGGTATGGGGGTCATCTGCTTTTCTTCTGTCATCGTCTGTCGAAATCTTACCTGAGAAAAAAAAACAGAGTATACTACCTGTGTATGTCCAGTTTTCAATATACAGTATATAAAAACACTAAATCACCACAATACACCAAAACACTTTTACTTTTACACTGGACGCGCGTTTCGCTAACCATGTTAGCATCAAAAATTTTGAATTTATAATCATCTGCTGATGATGCTAACATGGTTAGCGAAACGCGCGTCCAGTGTAAAAGTAAAAGTGTTTTGGTGTATTGTTCTTTTTTTGCTGTGTAACACCAAAGGTTCCAACCCTCAACTGTAATACAGTATATCCCCGGATTATCTTTACAAGAGGAATTTTTTTTTATTGACATTTTCAGAACAATTATTATTCATCTTTCGTAAATTTTTTTGCTAGTTCTAAAATTGTTAAACCCGTTTATAGTTTTCCATATTTCCATACCGTTTTAGAGAAAATTGAGGAAAACATGAAAATATGGTTGAATTTTTTCCAAAGTCCTAAAAACCAAAAGCCGTTTCTATGATAATATCAATTCGATTTCATTCTTTGATAGATGGTTATTATTACCTTGTTATTACCTATGATTAGTGTCATATTTTTGACTGTTGTGTTAAAGTTATCATATTTTTCGATAAGTTATTTTCGATAAGTTTAACCTTTCCATAGCATTGAACTAAATAGATGTTGTGCTTTTTTAATATTTTAAAATAACAAAAAAACATTACGTTAATTAAAATTCTATGAATCTACGTTAATTAAAATTCTATCAAACAATGAAGACGAAGTTATATTACCATATAAAAGCGTTTTGATTTTTAGGACTTCAAAAAAATTTAACTATATTTTCATGATTTTCTTAATTTTCTCTAAAATGGTATAAAAATTTGGAAAAGTATAAACGGGTTTGACCATTTTAGAACAAGCAAAAATTTTTATGAAGATTGCATTGTTCTAAAAACGTCAATAATAAAAAAGTTTTTCCTCTTGTAAAGACAATCCGGGGACATACTGTATAGACTATAGACATACTAATAGATCTACCTTTTCTACCATAGAACTAAATTCATAGAACATTAATCCAGTATGTTACATATTTTTATAGGTGTATTTAGTTTCTAGTGTTTTTGTAGTTCCGTTTTATATTCTAAATTTCGAAAAAAAAATTATTTGGGCATTTTAAACAATCACTAAAAATAGTTATATCGAATACCATGCTGTATTTTGCAAGTTCAATGAAAAATTAACCTGTTCCTTTTTGACTTTTATATCTCTACTATATCTACTACTATTTAAATAGATCTTGTATTTGAGAGGACGAATTGACGTGATTGTTATGAGTATCTTGTCAAAATTCCAACAACTTGGAATGAAATTGCTCTAATCATTATCCTTCAATTCTTCTCCAAGTCCAATCTTTTCAATACAGTGCAAGGAAGTGGCGATCTGTTATCATTCGGTATAATATTTCTTGTCTAGTTATCAGTCTAAACTTCTGTTGTTTATAATACTGATTTAATAGATCAACTGTTTATCTGCGAAGGTGCGAAGTTACAGTTGTGTCACAGTTATTATTATATTTTTGTTGTTTGTCAATTGTAAATTTATTTTAATATTAAGGTTTAGATAATATAAATATTAATAGAACATTCTTTTTTAGTTACTTGGTACGGCCTAGTCCATTCTCAGCTCAAAAAACTTTCGAACGACACAACAGTCGAAGAAAATCTAATATAAGTTTCTGTTCTCAAAGTTTCTTACAGCAATTAGGAAGTTCAAATCAATTAAATAATCGTAGAAGTTCCGGATTAGGACTATCCGGTTACCAGTCACCAAGGCCACCTCCCTTAGCTACTACAAAATCAAATTCGCTATCGTTGCCCGATAGCCCAACAGTTAATACACATCAGAGGGGTCGTTCCAACTCTCTACGAGTTATAGATGATATTCTTCTAAGAAGATCGAATTCGTTAAGACAGGGCCTTCCAGGTCTTGGCAATCCTCGAAGGAAAAGTAGTTTGGAAGACATTGGCCTAACACACTTTTCAACCAACTTCCAAAAGCCAATAAAGATAGCTTTTAATAATAGTATCGGGCTCGAAGTTACACCTCCAGAGGAAAACAGCCCACCTATAATGTCAAGCAATACGGCTCTTATAGTAAACCCCTCCCTAGTACCAACAATAAATATGGGAAGCACACTTAGTCTTCAATCATTAGGAGGCCCGTCGCCTTTTGGTAAGAGTTTATGTTAAATTTTAAAGTATGTATTATAATAAATTTAGATATTTAGTAATTCTATTAATTATTAAATTAATTTTTATAGACGTGAATATGAGATTATTATAGCGCACATTTTAAAATTATTTTTATTTATATACCTTCCACTAGAAACCTACTAAACAACGGAAAATAATTAAAAAAACTAAAGTTTTAATTTTATAATTTCAATTTATTGCATATATTTATACTCAGGACATCCGTCATAAAATACTAATTTCAAAACATAATGTTATAGCCTATACTGTGTGGTTTTGGAAATATGACAATTTCGGACATAAATATGTCCGAAGATAAGAACATATTTATATATTTCTCAACATCATCCAATAGCACATTGTTGATGGTATTTTTAGTTAGAAGTAATTTATAATAGTATACTCTTATATACAATTAAATAACAGTTTTGTCATCGCTACCCCCGTTTACTCTGCTCGGCTCCTTTATGAACTTCCAAAAAATGATTTAGCACAATTCAAGCTATACCGGGTGCGTCTCAAAAGTGGCTCACCCCTATAACTTTTTTATTTTTTCTGTTAAAAAACGAGATTCGGTATGTTAGTATATGACATAAATTAGGATTGATTGACGTATTCAATTGTTTTCGGTCACTTCTTCTTTCACTGGAAATGACTACAACTTTTGATTTATAAATGGCACCCTCGGTATTTTTTTACTTTATTCGATGGAAAATAACACTCTGAATAGAATGACATATCATATGTCAACTTTTGACATTTTTGCATATGGTTTATTTGAAATTATAACTTGCGGTTCGTAAGGAAAATTTGAATCGAAATACCAAGTGTGGTGCCAAATTATTCGTAAAAAAATGCTTTTTCCGAATATGCTAATGAGCCACCCTTGACCCATTAGAAAAAATTGAGATAAGATTAAAAATACGATTTGAGCATTTTCTAACTGGGCCAGGACCAGACACTAAAAACATTAAACGATCAAATCTATTTTTCCAAGACTCCTTGATTAAGAATTAATGTTTTTAACATAGCCATGGTACCCTAATTTAAAATTCAATTTTGTTTTAAGCAAGAATGTCAAAAGTCGTAATTCTATTCAGAATGTCATTTTCTATCGAATAAAGTAAAAAAATTCCGAGGGTGCCATTTAAAAATCGTAGTAGTTTCCGGAGAAACACGAAGTGACCAAAAACAATTGAATACGTCAATCAATCCTAATTTTTGTCATATACTAACATACCAAATCTCGTTTTTTTATCTGAAAAAATAAAAAAGTTATAGGGGTGAGCCACTCTTGAGACGCACCCGGTATACTTACAATCAAATGGTCCGATTCTTGTTATATCTCCGAAACTAAAATTTTGTATTGTATGCAAACTATGTCTAAAATTAATTTATCCCAAAATATGCATAAAAAAATTAGAAACCAGTATCTCCCCCTGTATTTAGAAACCAGTTAATGTGAATCCATTATAATACAATCTACAATCTACCATTTATAATTATTTGTTAGAGATTATTCAAGGATTGTGCCTACCAATAATATTTTGCCTATTTTTTAGTACTTTTAAGAACATTATTTTTTATACGACTAGCCTAGAAAATGCAGTTTGACACACGGAAAACACGATCTGAAATTGGCGTTTTGCAAACTGTTGTGTGCTAAGGATTTAGCGCACGACATGTGTCATTTTGCACACGACATGTGCCAATTTTAACATTTTTAACCTCCAATATTTACCTGAAACGCCAATTTAATTTTAATATTTAAATATTGTACTAGGTATTAATTATCTGTGTATATACAGGGTGCTACAAATTCGAGGTACGAGCATTGGTATCTCGGAAACGGTAAGAGATACGAAGATGGTTAAATTGGGGTAAAGTTGCGCTTAAGGGTGTTTACCAAGATGCCATCAAAAAAGTTTTAAAAATTTCAAGGATTGCTGAGTTTTTTGAAAAAAGCGGATTTTTTTGAAAATTAATTTTATTTTTTCCTGTCGTTATTTCTTAGAAAATCAAAAAACTAATTGCACATTCTCGTAGTCACTTTATTAGGGCTATCTGATAGTATTTTTAGTTTTTCAAATTAGCTGATAATTTGTGAGATACAGAGGCCAACTTAATTTTTTTAAATACGGACCTGCATTTTTTATTTGAGGTTTTGAAAGAACTCGGTCTCCTGAGTACAATAATATACCACACTTGATACTTTTTTTTTTGTTTTAGGTACCTTAATAATAACAAAACTATTTAATTATTATTTAAAATAATTTCAAGTTCGACTCTGGTTTTTTAAAATTATTTAATCTGATTATATTCATCGCAACAATATGGATCAGCGCTAATTAACATTGACTAAGGAAAATCGAGCCAATTGAACGATTCAAATAAATAATATCCAGGTCAGCAATTTAAAATATTTTTTTTTTTTATTGTGAATTTGAAATCTCAGTGTGCGATCTAATAATATGCATAATATTAATCATAGTTTTTATAAATAAATCAACTTCTACAAACTAGTTTCTAATGCTCTACATGTTCGAAAAGGTTGCCATCGTCTCTGATGCACAAAAGTGTATTTTTCGTTCAATCTTATTTATAGCTCTTTGAACATAATATCCTCTTATACTTCCGAATGCATTGTGTACTCTTTATTGCAAATATTGAAATGTATTGTCACTTGTATTTCACTTTTAAAAATGACGTCAAGTAATGCCCAATACTTTTATATTATTTGATTGCATTTGATTTTCCGTATTCAATGTTTTACCCCACGTCATTGTTAAGTTTGAAAGCTTATCAATATTGTAACGATGAATAGATTAAATATTTAAAAAAAACAGAGCCGGACTTGAAATTAGTTTAATTAAATTGTGTTCAAATGTTCGAAACAAAAAAAATATTAAGTGTGGCATATCATTGTGAGACAGAGTTCTTTGAAAATCTGAAATAAAAAATGCAGATCAGTATTTAAAAAAATTAAGTTGGCCTCTGTATCTCACAAATTATCAGCTAATTTGAAAATCTAAAAATACTATCAGATAGTCCTAATAAAGCGACTATGAGAATGTGCAATTAGTTTTTTGATTTTGTAAAAAGTAACAGCAGGAAAAAATAAATTAATTTTCAAAAAAATCCATTTTTTTCCAAAAAACTCAGCAATCCTTGAAATTTTTAAAACTTTTTTGATGGCGTCTTGGTGAACATCCTAAAGCGCAACTTTGCCCTAATTTAACCATCTTCGTATCTCTTACGGTTTCCGAGATACCAATGCTCGTACTTCGAATTTGTAGCACCCTGTATGTACCTATAGTTTTACAGTTAAAAAGTTAATAAAAATAATTTGTTTAGTTTTTAAGTTTTTTTAACATCTGCAACACATAGTATATGTATTAAATCTTTATAATATGCTGCAACTGCTGCAACTACACATAGCAATACCTACTCTTTCTACGGTTCTCATTTATCTAATTCTTTATCCAATTCTTACAAGATCTTAAAGAACTATTTTTTTAAGGTGACTCACCTTTATAACTTTTTTATTTTTTCAGATAAAGAAACGAGATTTGGTACGTTAGTACCGTATGATCGAATAAAAACGGCGTCAGTGATGGCTATGAAATGACGATCGATGACATTTCCCATATAATTTTACATATAAAATGACAGCGATCTTCATTTCATAGCCATCGCTGACGCCGATTTTATTCGATCATACGGTATATCACATAATAACAGTATTGATATACGTATTAAATTAATTTGTTTGAATCCCGTTTCACCGTTAATTACTTCAACTATTGATTTTTTAATGACACCCTCGTATTTGTATTACTTTATTCCATATTTCTTCAAGGGCATCAAAGTTTTTAATACTAAATATTTACTGAAGATTATTTATTGATCAGATACTGTGTTGCAATAAGAAAAATTTGACTACCTTATACAGAGTGTCCAAAAATTTATATTAAATAATTACTAGCTTTAAACGGCAATAACTTGTTTAATTTCAGTGGAACACCCTATATATTTTACGTGAATCAAATGCACAATGTAATTGTCTATCAAATTGTATTATACCTGTTTTTACCCATCTCTTCAAGTTTTCGTAGAAAATGCATTTTCTTATAATTTAGATCTCCATGGAATATTGACATTTCAGATTTTTTTATAGCGCCATATATGTACAAAACGTACAGGTGGTAAATATTGCAAGCCCATTGGCAAACAAAAAAAACTATTTAAATCTTTGTAAAAGAGTATACCATCCTATCCACCATTATTTCCGACCAAAAACACCAAAAATTAGTTAATTACATACTTTTAAATTATTTTAATTAATAAAGTATTCTAAATAAATGTGGATTTGGCTCAGAAATCAATATAATAATAAGTTATGAAAATGAACGTCTCTGCACGTTTCTATAAATAAGCGTTCGTCAAAAAATGAAATAAAATTATAAAATTTATAAGGTGTTACTTTTTACCACACTGTCTAATACACACCAAAATTCAGTTTTTTAGTATTTGGAGCAATTATTATATTAATCAACGTAAAGAGTCAATCAATGTAGTTTGAATACTGGGATCATATTAATTGGTCCTCTTTAACAAAAAATATTTAAACAGTTTTTTTAATTTTTAATTTTGTAAATATAAGCCAACTATATCGAATATTAGTATCTATACCCTTTGAAAATTTGTTACATCTTTAAAAATTTGTTACATCTTTAAAAATAAGCTAAAAGGTCAATATTTCATGGGTATAGTGATAAATGAAGTCTAAATTATAAAAAAATGCATTTTCTGCGAAAACTTGAAGAGATGAGTAAAAAATGGTTTAAAGCTAGCAATTATTTAATATAAATTTTTGGACACTCTGTATAAGGTGGTAACTTTTTTATTATTGAAACACAATATCTAAATAATAAATAATCTTCAGTAAATATTTAGTATTAAAAACTTTGATACCCTTGGAGAAATGAAGCCTTAACATTTTTACTGCAATTTCATAAAATTGAAAACATTTCAAAAACGGTAAGGTTTAAGTGTGATAAACCCTAATCAAATTTTTTTAACCTTTATCAAAAATACAACTATAATATTTTTTACTTATTCGGGACACTCTGTATCTTGTAAAAATATTTTTAAATTGTAGCTCTAATAGTACTTCAACAAACCCAAAACTTACAATTTGTAAAAATCTAATCGTTTAGCTTCAATACTCCGTGTCGTATGTGGTAAACAACCCTGTATATCAATTTTTGATGGAAGTGATCGAAACGAATTCAGTACGTCAATCAATCCTAATTTGTCATATGCTAACATACCAAATCTCATTTTTTATCAGAAAAAAATAAAAAAGTTGTAGGGGCATTCTTGAGAAATACCCGGTATATTATTGATCTTGGCTCTAGAAAATAATACCTTCTCTATAAATAAATAAAATCAGAGAAAAAAATTAATCAGAGAAAAAAATTGCCTTCAATGGGCTACAAAATTACATTCCATTAAAATCGCAGAATTATATCTGAACTCCTTAAAATTCAAACTCGCAGATAGGATGAGATTATCACGGTCCTAGTTTACAAAATCACAATCGCAGCAAAATCGCAAATCACAGGAAATTGGAACTCGCATCTATAATAATATTGGTTGCCTAAATTGAAATTCGCAAATCGGTTGCGATTGCGATTTTAAAATCGATGCGATTGAATGGCAGTTATCCCTACATCGCTCATCTCTACAAATAACCTTGTAAAAATAATTTTCAGTACCTAACCTAATATTTTATAGGGGGTGTAAATGCTGCAAATTACGGTGATTCCTGCCCACCTACGCCAACTGTATTGCCTAGTTCTTCGAGCGATGCGCAACAACTCCAAGGGACCATAGTATGATATAACCTAATGTGGGGGAAAAGAGGAGGCAGCTTAAGAAAGAAGTGGCTGTAGATCTCTACCCTCACCTAATGCTTACGCATATTTATTTTTATATATAAATTATTAAAAGAAAAGCTTGTATAAATTAATTTAATAAAACATCTAATTGCTAATCATTAGATAAATTGAGATAAAATATAACGCAAAGGGAAGTGATACAATAAACACACATAATAATAGGAAAATATAGAATAAACGAAATAATAATAGAAAAAATAGGTACTACATATAGAAATACATAATTCAATTATGACTTAATGTACATAAATTATCATCAATGTACATGTAACTTGTAATAAGTTTTTATTTACTATTATTATAGAAAACAATAAGGAGATTGGACACGAAGGGTCTAAGAACTCAAGATATTTTATTTAAAAAAACCTTATACAGAAATTTATTTGCATATGTTATATGTGGTTCTGACCGAAAAGTTGTCTAAAATAAAAGTAAAGACTATGTCAATCCAAGTAGAATTTCAGTTAATATATGCACTATTAATACGTGTGTTCTTTAAGCGCATTATTTTTTTTTTCTATTCTTGATTTAAATTTGCTAGTAGTCAATTAATAAACCATTTTAGGTACATATAAAATTAGATCATCAATTTTAACAGGTAATTTGGTATCAATACAGACAAATTTGACACGAGTAAAATAGAACTTGTTCCTAATAAAAATAATGATTATAATTAATGGCAAAAAGACCCTTTAGAGACATGGCTATTCACTTAAGAGAATTAAAAACCTTGATAGGCATATTATATCAGCAATCGTTACTTTAATTATTATAATAAAGAAACGAATTCTTAATTAATTAACAAATGTCATGTTTTTATACTTGCTGGACAAACTCTGCCGGATGACACAGAAATCGTTCACAGACTGTCCTTTCATTTTTTATCGTAAAAATTTCAAACATGTAGCATGTAGTTTTTCATCAAACTCTCATTTTCAGATGTCATCATAAATTTAGTAGTTTGAGTTTGCGCGGAAGTGAGCCCAAGATAATTTTTGTATGAAACACTTTTTTATTTATATTTACATAGAGGGTAAAATTCTATTTTCAATGATACAACTCAAGTTTACAGTATTTTTCAATATAGTAGTACATACATTTACTTACAACTCAATTACATACAATAAAAATTCTCTTTTTTTTTGGTATGTAATTGGCTAATTGTGGTTTCACCCCTTTAGGTCAGTCGGTACGTCGTTTTAAATAGGCCTAGGTGGAAATAATTAGGGGCAAGCTGCAATATACTTATTCTCTTAGGGATTAGGCCTATAGGGGGAAACACTTAAAAAAAGCGCGCCGAGTGCTCTAGCGCCAGGTGGTGTGGAAACGAGCACAAGAAAATCACAAATTTGTACTGGCAACGCAGCCTGCAGCTGCAGAAAAGCAGGATTACACTGTTCGGTAGTGTGCAGTTCGTGCCAGGGCATAGCGTGTTCAAATTCTGAAATAACTCTAGAAGATCCAGGGGATGACGAAGAAATCGATTCTCGATTAGAAGAATTAATGACCAACGAAAAAAAAAATATCGAAAACATAGACATTGAACAAGAACCAGATGAACAGTTTGATAAAGAATATATTGATGAGTCAATTGATCAACCTTCTACGTCAAAAAAAACAGGCGGTGAAAATACATACTTATAAAGCATAGCATGTCATATGGATATAAAAATAGAACATTTGTAACGGCAAGTGGATTAGGCCTATAGGGGGAAACACTTAAAAAAAAGCGCGCCGAGTGCTCTAGCGCCAGGTGGTGTGGAAACGAGCATAAGAAAATCACAAATTTGTACTGGCAAATTATTCAAATTTACATAGAATCAGTTTCTCATATTAAATGAACCACTAGAAAATATATGCTTTGTATTTAAGCGCCTGTATCTCGTTAACCTGTTCATGCACGAAATTGGTAGAGAACTTAAATAGCTTTCTTTTTGGTCTCTTGCAAATTTTCTGTACAGCGCACCCAGACCGAGTTATTTAAAAAAAAAACATAAAAATGTCATAATTTGACAGGATTTTCCAATATGGCGGCCAAATCCGGGATCGATAGACCGTGCAAATTTAGTAGAATATTCAACAAAGCAAAACAAAGAGAATAAGTGTTATTGCAGCTTGCCCCTAATTATTTCCACCTAAAACCACTTGTCGACTGGTCTACTTGTACTTTCTATATAATAAATTAAATATAATTAACTATCCAGATATAAAATCGATATTGCAGGGTTATCGGAAACACATTGGATAGATCAAGGATTCTTCAAAACTAGTCTTAATAACTACGTCTACTTTTTAAGCGCCGATCAACAAAATTATACTGGTATTGCAGTCATTGTGTCCGAAAAATTACAGAAATATGTTTTGGATTTTAAAGCTATAAGCGACAGAATCATGGCCTTAAAATTGAACGCCAGGCCAAACCCAATAAATATTGTTCAGATGTATGCTCCGACTGCTGCTTCGAGCGATGTCGACATCGACCATTTCTACCATGACCTAAGAAGCTCTCTCCAAAACATTCCGAATTAAGAGATACCCTTAGTAACCGGTGACTTCAATGCTAAAATTGGAGATACAACTGATAACGAACATATTAAAACTATTAGCAAATATGGTATCGGTGTAAGAAATGAACGGGGTGAACGCTTACTTGACTTTGCAATCGAAAACAATCTAACTATAATAAACACAACATGGACTAGTCCAGGAGACAGAGTACGCAACCAGGTAGATTTTATTCTCTCTAACTCGAGATAGAGAACCTCGTTCAGGACAGTACGGATTTACCCCAGAGCAATATGTGGCTCGGATCATAAGTTACTGACAGCAAAGATTCGTATAAAGTTAAAAAATGTTATAAGAAAACCAAGACCAAAGCAGATGGAGATCCCCGACGTAACACATTTTCAACAAGAACTACTGAAAATATCGTGGAACATTAACGAGAACACCCAACCGCAACAGATTTGGATAGACTTTAAAAATTGTCTGAGTAATGCCACTTCTCGACAACTAAACAAAAGACAAAAAAACAAACATTGGATTTCTGACAACACATTGCTAAAAATTGAACAAAGACGAGCATTAGTGCAAAGTGGTATAAAATCACAAAATGAAAAAGATAAATATAGAAAAATAAATACAGAGATCAAACACAGTTGCACCATCGACAAGAACAACTACTATGAAAAAATATGTCAGGAAATAGAATCTCACGCTTTAACACATCAACCAGGGGACCTGTTTAAAAAGATAAAGTACCTTACAAGAGAATTCAAGCCAAATACATGGGCAATAGAAGACGAACGCGGATAACTTAAAACCGAAATTAACGAAATAGTGGAACGATGGCAAACATACTGCGGTACACTATATATGCACTAGTTGCTCTTTCCACAGTGATATAATTAATGAAGAACCAGACATACTAAAATCGGAAATTGAAGCAACAATAAAAGTCCTAAAACATCATAAAGCCCCGGGACCAGATCACATTACGGCCGAAATGTTCCAAGCGTCGGGAGATTTTGGTGTGGACATCGTGCATAAGTTATGTAATATGATATGGCATACTCAACAATGGCCATCAGATTGGACCGATTGTTCCATAATAACCATCCACAAAAAAGGATCTCCAGCCAAATGCGACAACTTTCGTACCATTGCGCTAATGTCACATGCCAATAAGATTCTTCTTCATATCATTAACGAAAAGCTAAAACCGTATATTCAAACCCAAATCCCTCCAGAGCAAGCAGGATTCACAGGAGGTCAAGGAACATGTGAACAAATTTTGAATGTCCGTCAGATTATCGAAAAGGCCTGAGAATTTAACAATCAGCTCTATATTTCTTTCATAGACTATCGAAAAGCTTTTGACAAAGTCAAATGGTCAAAACTATTGATGGTTCTTAAAGAAATGGGCGTGCCTCTTCATTTCATTTCATTGATCCAGAATCTCTATACAGGGTCTTCCAACAAAGAGAGAGAGAGAGAGAGAGACTTTCTATATTTCAATAAACGCTTTAACGTGACTAACGTGAGTATTCATAATCTCAAAATTTCCCCATTTCAAATTTGGAAAAAAATCACTCTACGAAGTAGTCATTTTGAATAATAATAATAACTTGTGATATATAATTGAAAAAAGACTTTTCAGTTCTATGTAAATTTGGATAAAACAATTTATTTAAAATTCTTCGATTGGTTTTCGGTTTGAAATTAATATTCGACTGTTTGTTAATAAAAAACCGTGAATGTGTCAATGAAATAGCTGTCTGTACAAAGATTGTACAGCATGTCCGATTTTGTCTCTCCGTATATTAAAATAATTTTAACTGATATTAAAATTACCCCCTATACCCTATTAAAATCATATCTTCTCGTGTCACAATTTTAGTTACGATACTCCCTCCGAAATGGCTTGACCGATTTTGATGAAATTTTATATGTATAACCAGTAGGTCTGAGAATAGGTTGTTATCTATTTTTATACCCCTAAGTGATAAGGGTGGCCCACTCCAATTTTTTTTGACAACATTTTTTTTTTTTTTTATGATGTGGCATTAAAAAATACATACAACCTTAAATTTTCACCCTTCTACCCTCTACCCCTATTTTTTAATAGCGATATTAGTAACTCAATATTTTTTAACCCCGTGAATAAAAATGACTGTTGCAACAACAACATTTGCCGGGTCAGCTAGTAAAATGTTTCTTAAAAAACTTTGGTAATACATATAAAATATTCGCTTACTATATTGTAACTTTAGTAGTCATTTTTACTTAAAATTTTTAACTTTGTAGTATACAAACCATACTAGCAAGTTACTCCCGAGAACAAACATTGATAACACAAGTATACACGGTTTTGGACCTGAGCAACTAAAAGCAATTTCTAAGATAATTTTTGGAGCTAAATCCAAATCAGCAGTCCATTTTTTAAAATTGGTTCTAGTTTTCGAAATATGCAATAAATTCATTATTTTACTATTTTTGACCGTTAACG